GTTTCAGATGTATATATATATTCGTAAATTTGTTCTGTTGCAAATGACGAGATCAAGTGCATGGCTCAGTTGGGTAGTAGTACACACACCGAATGCAGACTGGTTGTGAATGTAAGATGATACTTGAATCCGTGTAAACCGAAAATCCGATACAACAGTTCACTTTCAAGTCAAAATTTTGTTGCAAATTCCAAAATGGGAGGCCAATGAAGGCATTAAACGAAACAGAGAAAAAGCACACAAAGAGAGAGGGAGAACGGGGAACAGGAGTTTAAAACCTCTGTGGACTTTGTGTCGAGCATTTTATTCTCTGACCAGATATTGCAATCGAATCGATTCTGATTAAAATTATTCTCAACATTATGTTGCACACATTTGAAGCGTCGTGTATCGGTCAAGCAAATTCAGTCGATCTAAGCATATAAATAAATCGGCTTTGGATTTTCTCTATATTCGCTCTCAATCCGGAATTGGAATCATTTCATCGGTGAAATCATACGGAAACCTATGGCTTTTCCCCGGCCACTGACGAGTGGATTTCGAAATGCAATGCATTTGGCATGTGAAAATTTAACGAAACCAAATGTAAAACATGTGCTGCATATATCTGTGAGAGACACGTATGTGTGTATGTATGTGTGTGGACGGCAGAGGTGGAATGAGTGCGGGCGTTTTCAAGATATATTGACAACAACACAGACAACTACATGCATTTATTAGTAACAAATTTTCGAGCTAGCTCCACTTAACATGAATTCAATTTAACATTCAAAACGATTGGCATGGTTTTTAGACGCAGCAAGACAATGCTGACGACTGCTGCTGCTGCTGCTGGAAATCTGCCCACAGCCACTCATTGCATTTTCTCGCTCGGAATAGACATATTATTTAATGATTCCAACAGGATTTCTGTGGCTTGACCATTAGAAAAGAGAAAATGTTGCGTTGCCGTCCATTCGCTTCGGCACAGAACCGAGCACACAAAAACCAAAACCAAGGGAATTCAAATGCAATGAATGTTACATACGTGAAAGTGAAGACAGAGCGAGAGACAATCGTCGAATCAATAAATTTTCGATTTCGGACAGTAGGAATTGGATAAAGGCGCTCATAGATTTTGAAAAAGAACAACAAAATACAACAACAAAATAATAGCGTCTAGGTAAAAGTGGTTAAATGGGCTCATTTGATTGTCTTGGTCGATGGCAATCCAATTAAATGTGATCTATTCAGTGTTTTCGTTTAGCGTTCAACGTCAACAAACAACAGCCGAATGTAATAAAAACTCAACGTTGCGTCTCTCATTTTGGGTTTTATGGGCAATAAATTTCTATTGATTTCTAGTCTCTCTCGCTCTTTCTTTCTCTGTCTTTCAATCGAGTCTCCTTCAAATGGCGACGACGTGCACATTTTTGTCTGCTCTTCTCTCATTCGTCTCTTTCTCTCTTCCTCTTCACATTTCGTTTGACCGAAAGAGACAAAAAAGAAAACATTTTCTTAGAATCAATTCAAATCAAAATACCGAACCTCAACGGCGAATTTTAGTCATATTTCACAGTAATTAACCATCAACATCGCATATTTTGTCTCATGTATGTCATTTTCCTTTCAACGTGATTGTGATTTTTTTTTCTTCATCTTCTCTTCTTCTTTGGGTCACAGTCCGCGCGCTCTCCCGATACTAAACAATCAATAAAAACCGTCAATGCGTTTGGTATACACACGTATATCGCATCTAGTATTTAGCTAATTAACAAAACGAAGGAGCGAAGACACAAAAATTATGTTTATTTACCGAGATCGGTGGCCGAAGAGCAAAAGAACGACGAGAGAGAGAGAGAGAGAGGAAAAGAGCATAAGATACCAACAGTTTTTGGTCGAAACTAATGAATAAAATAAATAAATGGATTTCGTGTATGACAAAATGAACCAAAGCGCACAGTGACCAACACAATAAATTACGATTGGCCGCTATTGTAGTGATGATCATTTTCGTTGTGTGTGTGTGTGTGAGACAACGAAGAAGATGTGGAGAGCAAGAGAGAAAAAATAACGTCGATCACATAGCATACATTGGATATAATTAATGGAATCCTTTTTCTATCATTTTCTCCATATGTTTGTTTTAATTTTACATCATCAGCACAGCCTTGAATTTAGGAACTCAACTCTCAGGCTCTATCCCAAATCCTATCTGCTGGTGCGTCTATTTTTAACAACGAAACCTATTGTTCTGTATCATCTATCTTCATTGTTTTTACGTGGTTCCACTCGCATCTTATGTTTATTTATCTTTATTAGGCCATATATTCTTTTGTTTTTATTGGTCATCTCATAAATTGTGTATAAGATCGACCGTATTTCGATTTTTTTTTCATTCGGTCCATGACGTTCACAATGGTTTCAAGGTATATTCTTGTCTAATTATAATCACAAATGCCCAACTATAGACTACAACCCAAAAATTATCTTCGGTTGGTTTGGCTTATTTTGGTGATTTTCTTCCATTCTCTCTCGGTTCTGTGCTCTATATCTAAAACTTAATGCACCATCCATATGGTACAAGTCATAAACACATCACTCTCGAGGCTACCATATCATTCAACGTCTAACAGCCGACGTTACCATTTCTGCTGCTGTTGCTGTCGTCTTTATGTCAAGGATTGTACATGAAAAACCTATGAAAGGAAATTGTATTGTTCGAAAGATATAACAAGATGAACGAGAAACCAGAGTGCTTCATGGCAGAATTGGGAGTTTTGAGATGTTTTAACCGAGTTTGAGATTTCATATCAACCTTACCAATCACATTTGATGAATGTTTTTGAGCTCATCAATGCGCCCAACTAGTGGCGTACATCACATTACGTACTCCAATCCGAATCATGTATAAACGCCTCAATTCTTTATGCAAATATTGAAAACTTTCATTTATATGCCTATGTAACAATATATCCTGCGTGCCTGTAAAATACCATGAGCTAATTTCATTTCATTGCTCCACATATTCTGAACGCCTGTTTTTATCGTTAACTAACGTTGGCACACACGGAAGCCAATATCAACATACACGAACACAAACACATTTCATGTTTGTGATTTTGACGCAACGATACAATTTCAAGCGGTTCTTTCATTCTCTCTCACATTCGGTAGAATGTAGTAACCATCAACTATTTTAACCCATTGAACATACAATTCACAAGTGGCAAAATTCATTCCACTTGTGCACATAGACATACACACACACGAGCCGTATGTGTTATGTGCACCGAAATCAGTCATTTCGGGTGAAATTTGAATAGTAAACGCTTGGTTGTCTGCATAGAAATGAAATAAAAATCATTACTACAGCTCCATGTTGAACGCTTAGCAAGAGGATAATGTGTGCGCAATACACAGTGATTGTCGCTTGCAATAGCAAACGTAGATAAAATACACAATGCCGCATTTTCGCTGCTGCACATGAAATTTACAATTTAAATACATGGCGAAAATCGTAAGCCAAGCTCGTACTCATCTAACCCCCCGAAAAAAATAAAATCTCGATTCAACACTATAACATTTGGTTCTGTCCTAGCTCTACCACATTTGTGAGTCCCTTACTTCGATTCGATGAAACGCATTCGCATGCTATATATGTGTGTAATTGTACACGGAGAGCATTAGTAGTGAATGTAATATAGATAACATGTCATCTATGCACATATATTCGGGCTACATCGGGTGAGTACAGTGTGATGCTGGCTGAATGGTTCGGTTGCCCGATAATGTTTCACTTGCGGATACACCATGCTTATTGCGATTCGACGAATCACTCTTTGGTGCGATATTCACTGCGTATTTTGGGCACCAAGAGTCGAACAACGGTGTGACTACCGAAAATTCTCGGAGCTGCCGCTGTCGCTTGGCCCATACGCTCTTCCAATTGTACATGTGTATGCGACGCATTTATAGCGCATTTTATCGTTGTGGCACAAATGTTGGAAATTTGGTGCTCAGTGCTCGCTCTCTCTATCTGTCGTTGTGCAAGTGTATATGACAACATGAAATGTTGGTTGAAAAGAGGTTGAAGACTAGTTGTTTCCGAAACAACCAAAAACGTATTCGAATGCCAGTGTCAATGTATTGGTCTGTCGAATTTCGTTCAACATGGGGCGCAATGTAATAAAACAGCGGCAAAAGCAACAACAACAGCAAGAGCAGCAGCAGCAGCATCTGTGTGGTTGATAGCCAAACACAAAGAGCCAACTTTTTGGTAGTTTCAAAGAAGTGAGAGTATTTTTGTGTGTGTGAGTGAGTGTGTAAGTGTATGCGCGTTTGCATGTCAACGGTCGCTTGCGTACACTGCGATGCGATGTTTACATGTATTTAAAACTGAAAATCTCAAGAGATTTTCTCTCTCTATGTGTATCCGTTTTTTGTATGGAAAACCTTTGTTCCATCGTTGATTTTGCTGTTGCTGTTCTTCTTATTATTTCGTGTTGTATTTTTTTTCTCCATCATCATCATCATCCTCGCTTTTCGTTCATTCGTTCTTCTCTTAAATTGTGTATATTTTTGTGTACACGCTGCTTTTTTTTCCTCTATATTCTTTTCATTCTGATTCCGTATTCAGCATGTACCTCTTTTCCAACGCTTGATTGTTTTCTATGTCGTTCTATCGCTCTCGCTCATTTAGTCTCTCTTTCCCACTCTCCGTCATTCTCACATTTTGGAATACGATTCTCTCATCTCCGTATTTTCGTTTGTTACGTATTACTCGGAGCATCAGCATGCTTTGCTATTCTATACTGCTCATCGCTTCTGTTGCTCTGCTGCTCTGCTGTGACGTCGCAATCGTAAACGCTGCCGTCGTTGCTGCTGCTGTTGTTGTTGTTGTCATCGTCGTCGACGACGAAAAACCAGTCTCTGCGTTTTCAAATATTCGATGTTATACTGTGTGCACACATAAATTTCGTTGTCGATGGGCCCCGGTCTCTGTTCAGCATAACGTATTCAGTTGAGTTTGAAGCATTGTATGGTGCGGAAGGTTTTTCCCTCATTCTTGTTCGAAATTCTTTTTTATCCACATTAAAATAAAACAGAGTTTTATCTCTTGAGTGAATTCAGAGTCAGTTGAGTGTGTTGTTCGACGCAGTATTTTTAACCGAGAATTTATCAGAATTGTTGATGAAAATTTCGAAGAATTTCCACTGTAATCAACGTTGTTTTGACGAAGTGGCAACTCAAAAAAGCCGTTCATTTCAGATCATATTACGAAAAAGTCCGTTAAATCACGAATAAAAACCCAAAGTTTCAAGTACGACATAAAAATTCAAATTTCCAACAATAAAATCGATGAAGTCGAGAAACCAGAGCTACATTGCATGAGAAATCAGTTTATGTGAAGTTGAAACAGATAAACGCAGACAGTATCGATCTTGGGAACATGAAATCGTTATAACACATTTCGGTTTAGAAAATAATATAAAGTATATCTATCTCTATCGAAGAAAAAGAAACGTTACGAGTGAACAAGTGATTTTGTTGGATTTTCTCATGCGAAGATTTCTTTCTACCTGATTAGATCTTTTTCTGTCTTCCCTTTTTTTTTATTCCTCCATATAAACCACTTGAAATTGTTAGTTTTCTTCGGTCAAATTTGAAAGCGAAGGCAAAAAAGCGTAAATATATAAAACGACGTCAAAAAGATTTATTGTATTGATGTCAATGTGTGTTACACATTTTTTCGTCTGTTAAATACGATTGAGTCACAGAGACATATAGCAGAATCCTAAACACAAACTCAAATATCCAAGCATATAATTCATCAGTTTGAACGAGAAGAAAAAGAAAGAAAGACGAAAAACGGAATATTGTTCAGTGCTTTTAAAAGAAATAATAGTTCTCTTTTTCAATTCCTCGCATATGTGAATCTGTGTGAACTGATAGACGACAGGATTCAGACGAGAAAAAAAATAAAAGTAAAGAAAGAGACGATTTCAAAAGACCCAACCAAAAATTAAGATTTGAACACATTGATTTGATTTTGAAAAGAAGAGAAAATTGTGCAGTAAAGAAAAACGATATAAAATGGCATCGACAGCACTAAAATCGATTTTATGTGGGTGTATTGTGTTGGTATTTGGTATTGTTGACAATTTTTCGGCAATGGCACGATCAACGGCTGAAGCTGACAAGTCAGTTGCGCTGCTACAGCAGCATCTCTGCCGTGATGAGTGCAGCAAAAAGGTTTGTAATCATTATTACTATCGACATTCGCATATGTTTTTTTTGATTTGGACATGAAAATTACGTTTTCCACATTTAAATCGGAACAGGAACTACAACAAAAATCGATACAATTTTCCCACATTATGAAAAAAAGGGTTTTCTCTCACTCTCTCTCTCTCTCTCTGTGTGTGTGTTTCTCTCAGTAGAGCGAGAAAACTGGGTTACGTAACAAGTTGGCGAGGTGTTTCAACCTCAATATATACATTACACTTGGCTCCTATGAATTATGATGCTGATCAGAATATACGGGGCGAAAAACGTTGTACCATTTTCCGTTGCCCATTATTTATTGTCTTTCCATGTATTTGAAACATTTATCTCGGCGTTTCGCTCTTATTCCCAATGCTTGGCCATTATTCATGGTCGCCATTCGGTTGCGGTCTTTCTCTTTCGTCCTCTTGCTCTCGCTTCTTCACCATCGTCGTTTATTTCCACTGGTTTAAACATCCGAAAAGTTTTCATGCACAGTGCTTGCACAAAATGAAAAACCGAAAATTTTACGCTCGTTCTCTGGCTCTAGCGATGTGACTGCCACTCGATGTTTTCGGAGGGGACCATTATCATTGGATGCATGCATGGCGCAGCAGACGCTTCTACAATAACAACGACAACAGCAGTAACAGCAACGCCGACGAGGGTGTTCTGCTCGCATTAATTATTCAACATTCTGACAAATTGCCTATTTTCATTTTAATGTAAACAATGTTAATTATAAACGCGCCGGAATACCGAACACGATAAACTAAACCAAATTACGAATTCAATTCATTCGAACATTTTATCACATACTCACACACACACACACCGAGCAAAAAGCATGGGCCCATTTGTGGATGAATGGCAGAGAGTCAATGCAATGCTTTTCGTCCCCGGGCCGTTTTATGTTAACTGAAGAGAGAAAAAACTTTGCAATCGAATTTAATTTGATCAGTTCAATAATTTGAAATTAAATTTGAATTCCATTCATTTGTTGTCGCAGACAAAAGGAAACAAAGCGAAATGTGCACAATTAAATTGAGCCAAATGATAAATTTCAACTGTTATTTGCATTTGCTGAATCGTGGATTTGCATCAGACAAACGCACGCAAACACGCACAAAAAAATGAGATGTAAGTTGGATAGTGTAAATTCTAATTGGAACTGGTGGTTCGATTGTGTTTCTTGCGCGACCTGAACTCCATGTCAAAATTGGCTACACGGAAATAATTATTGGGAAGAGCGCCTATTAAGTTCGTAAAACACCCAATTACTTCAATTAGTTTGTATGATGGCGCAAAAACTTTTTACCCGAATTTTTTTTTGATGAATTTCGGTCGCATGATGTATACACACAGACAGGCTGGTGCACGACTTTTACGAACACGCTCATTTTCTTGTTTTTATTACGCTGTCGCTCTCCTTTTCTCATCTCTTCTCCGCGCTCTTTCGCGCCCGCGATCTCGATACGCTTCGATGTTGCGTCTACGAAATCAGTTGTGTCTTAGCTAGAAAACGTATTGTAACGCGCCTTCAGGCCATCTGATCCCTAATTTACGTTTTATTTTATTTTTTCGGTGTGTTCGCTCTTCCTAAAGAAAACAAGTTATTTCCAAACCGACAAAAAATTTCAATGCGTAAGAAGTGGTACACAAGAGGAAGACCATTAGTATGCACAATGGCAAAAGGATATTGTTCAAAACGATGACGATGAGAGTGAGAGAGAAATATATAACGAACGAACGTTGATTTTACGTCTTGGTTCGTTCCTTCATTCAGCCAATTTGTGCTCACGATCGACGTCGCAGTGTTTTATTTTGGCGCTCGGCGTGAAAATGTCCAAGTTAAGATGGAACACATCGGAAAAGTTGTTGAGCGTCTAAAAAGAGGGTGTATACCACAAAAGTCAATGTGGATTCTTCGTAGACAGGCAATTTGATTACTTGTAGCAACTTTTTTCCCCTTGATTTGTTCGCTGCTAACGAATATTCGATTCGAAATTAGTTGTCAGCTGTTGAATTGATTATTAAAAATGTGTTGGCCCAAAATATCTTTCCTCAGATGGGAAGCTCCAATGTAATTAAACCATTCGAAATGTATGTGCGTGTGTGTGCTGGTATGTCGTGGTTGTATGGATGGGAAAAGGGTTCCTTTGCCTTTCGGCAGATCTGCGTGAATTGCATTTTCTCACTGTTTCTCATTTCGATCGAATCACGTAGTCTCGTAGACATTTCGCTGTGGAATATTTTTTGTTCTAGTTTTAGGGGCAACCCGTACGTGACGGGTTTTTAGTTGATCAAAAATTCGTCAAAGTCACACAAAAGCAACGATGTTGTCGTTGTCGAATGGCGGAAAAATCCCTTTTCGTAAAATGGCGTGCACAGATAAAACGGCACCGAATCCTTCGTATCGAAGTCAAATATCTCGCAAAATTCCAAATGATTCGAAGAATACAAGATGCTGCCTTTCCCATTTTCCGTGTGTCGGTGGCTCATTGAATATGCAATGCAGACACATTTCGGAAAATGTGGAAAAACTCCAAATAAATACGTTGTACGTGACGCATGTGTTGTGTGGGTTTATACACACTCTCGCTCATCGTTCGCCGCAATACACCGACGAGGACGACGACGATGACGACGACAACGGCGGTGACGATGAGGAAGAAACACCATTCGCGCAGAGAGCATTCAAACATAGTTTGCCGCAATGCCATTGGTTTCGGTCCACGAAATGCTATTTTCATGATATTTTTGGTGGTGGCATTGTTTGCGATTTCATCTCTCACACGCTCTCTGTACGCTCGGTACTAAGTCCGCTGTAATGGTGGATTTCCATGTGATTTTGCCGTTTATCAAAGCACATTGTGTATCGTCAGAACATTTTATTACATTCCAAGCCCGAACGTGAGTTCTGATTTGATGCGAATTCTGAAGGCAAACTTGGTGGTTGGCTGCTTGGCATTTTTTTTTGCTGTAAACCCAAAATGAAAAATCGAATTGTGTGATACTACGCTCACTCGCGTGGATTATTATGATATCATGTGTCGCTTTAATGAATCCATCGAAGCAAAGTCGACACACACACAGAAAGCGAAAAAAAAACCGAATGAAGCACAATTCTTTCGTTTCACTCGTTGATCTATTTATGGTTTCAAAAAAACATTAGACTGTAAATGACATGAATTCCCATTTCAGTTTGCTCAATAAGGCAAATAGACAGAATCGTGAGGATGCTCTGTTAAGTAGTGTACAAACGTTTTCTGTTTTGACTTGAGCAATGCGTGTGCGCATCGTCGGCAACAATCCATGGTCAAGCGGAATAAAAATGAGTCAATTAAAGAGCAAAAATATTTTTTTCATCCATATGGATGAACTCTCTATCGACTCAATATGAAATATGGTTGAATGTTGTTGCTCGCTTTTTTTGCACTCTCTCTGGGTTTCATTCTCTCCATCGCATGCTCGTCCAATCTCTCGCTCGCCCACATTATTCTATTTGGATGGGAAGCGTACACATACATTAATCGGACGGCAATCCGTATGTTTTTCTACAACATCGGCTATTTTGAAGCATGACAAATTCACATCGATTCAATGTGGATTTTTGCTATCGATCGACTGCTCATTATTATACGGAAAAAGCAGCGCATTCGACATGACCTCAAATGATTCGGATAGATCAGGGCATTGATGAGGGTGCGATAAGGTTAGCCGATAAGCATTTTAAGATGCAGAAGAAAAGGACGAAAAGCGAAAAAAAGCGGACGGTTGAGCGTAAATTGTCTGTGAGTTTGTGTGTGTGTATGTGTTTCCAATTCGAAATGGCATTGAGTGAGCTCAATAAAATTAATGGTTGGTCTTCGTCGTGTATCCACCCCAATCGGCCTCTGGCCAATTTCATGTGATTCATTTATGGGTGTTCTCGCAAAAATTGGCAGTATCATGTGATTTTTTACATAGGATTTGCAACGATCCTCTATCCCTCTTGCTCGCTCTCCCTCTCTCTCTCTCTCTCTCTCTCTCTCTCTCTCTCTCTCTCACTTGGCTCGTCTCTTTCTCCATTCTGAGCCACACACAATCAATGGCTGTGTGCAATTCAGAGTCAGACACTTGCATAAAAGTGAAGCAGCAGCAAAACCTGCATAAAATACCATTTAAATGCTATAGTTTATTTTCTCTGTGTTTCACTATTTAAATAGAACATTGTGTTTGTTGGTTTTTCCAGCGCGGTGTTTTTTTCTCATTCGATTGTGTGTGTGTGGGTTTTTTTGTTTGTTTTCTTCTCTTCTCTGCACAGCACATATTAATTTCCATATTTTCTTCGTTTATTTTCAGTTTGCCATGGATGATATGTCTTGTCTACAACAACCGGAATGTTCAATGGTAAGTTTTGTTCTTCATTCTTGTTGTTCTGCGCGTTGCTCAGTGCAATTCGTAATTGTTGTTATTTGTAATATACGTTCGTTTTATCCATTGTTTGTTCACGCTTACTATATGCGTGTGCGCGAAAAGTATATGTTTGTTTAAGCCTCACTCACGCTCACCACTCTCCATCTCTATATATTATATATATACACAACCACCGATATTATGTAGAACATATGCATTGCATCATGAAATTTCGTTTCGAATTTCACTGCGTGGTTCTCTTTCTCTGTTGCCCATTTCCAGCAAACCGATTCGATTTTGTAGACCGTGTTGTTGCGCGTTTGTTGCTCTTTTTTTCCTCGGCCGTGTTGCTCTCATTGAATATATATATATATATATATGAGAAGCCAATGAAAGAAATCTGCAACAAAATGCGCAATTTTGCTCGCAAAAAAAGGCACCACATCAATGGCACTACTCGACACTGCCATTACAAAACGACAATAATACGGTCGTACAAACGAACAGCAGAAGAAAAAAAAGAGAAATGGAATTGCACATCGCACTCCATATGGAAACCTTTGTGAACAAGGAGGCAGCAAGGCGCAACGCGCGACAACGAAACAGAAAAAAAAACACACACATCGCCGGTGCAATACACAAATAATTATAAGAAAATACTACGTAAACCAACAAGTTTCAGTGTGTGGCTTAGCTAGTGCATTGTTGTTATTAGTTAAAGTCACGTTTAACATTTAACCGGATTATATAAGTGTGCATAAGCCTCGACAATGATGATGATGATGACGATGACGTTGGCTGATTTTGTAGTCATTACACTTGCGAAACAAAGTGTATACGCAAAAGTCCAAAGCCAAGTGCACGGCGTTTGATGCCTTTTCTACGATGTGCGATATGCATGCATACGAAAGAAAAAAAAATCAATACACCGGCTGATCATCACATGGGCTCAGCGTCGTTGTTGTCATCGTCGTCGTCGGCATGACTCTCTCTCTCTCTCTCACTCTCGCTCGTTCCATGGAAAAATGAGCTGCAGTTACACGCGCGCCGTGTATTTATTCACCTTGTAACTTGCCCACAAGTGCACAAAGTGAGCAACAAAAAACAAGTCGAGACGAGAAAAAAAAACACGATGTGTATTTTTGTGATTGTGATTTCATAGAAAATCCATGTCTTTGCATCTCTACCCAGACACACGGAGAGAAAGACGATAAAAAGTGCAATTTTCGTTTTCTTCAATGCACTTTTTTATTCCAGCCGTCGATTTGATTCGGGCTGTTTTTTTTTTCTCTCTCGCATTTTATTCTTGATATGATAATTATTGTTTATTCTGCTTGCATATTTTCTCTTTCTTTCCAAACGGGCAAACGGCACCATAATTGTTTGTTTATTTCCAATGTAATGTATGCAATATCTCTCGATGCAGTTCTCGCGTTTGGTTTTTTTGCGTTCATTTTAGAGAGTTGATCGCATCTCACATTGTTACTATGGCTCGTTATTCTGTGGTTAAAACGCCACAATTGCAATTCAAATTTTAATTTCGTGAGGCAAATTCGAGCTAAAGAAGAGAGAAGAGCGAGGAAAAAAAAAACAACAGTCTCGGATTGTTCTTCGATTTTATGGTAAAATGGTGCTCTTTTACAATCGAATTAACGAGTTCATCGTGTAGCAAACCGCGCGACGACTGCATTTAAAGCCTGGCCAATATTCGTTGCTGCTGCTGCTGTTGTTGTTGTTTCCAATACAAGAACAATCTACATAGGCAAAATATTCAATTAGTTTGTGTAGTTGGAATCGTAACAACGGTGCTTAATTGCCAACTCGATCTAGCTCGAAACGATTTCCTTTCTTCTCTGTTGAGCGCGAGTGCGCGTTTTTTTTCGCCCGTTCATAGCACAATTTGACACAGAATATAATTGAAAATAACGTTTTCTTAACGATCTTAATTTGATTTTTTGTTGCTGCTGTTGTGTTTTTTTTTTCACCATTCATCGCCCATTGTTTTGCATGAATACGTCGAGCGGCGATATAACAACAACAACAAAAAATGTTGCTCATTGTTGCTCGATCGTGTAAACAAATCGAACAGCTTTGTAATTGTGTGACAATCGTACAATAAAATTAACAGGTTAAGTGATATTAAACACTCGACGTGTCGCCAAACGTAATTTCACATTGCGGCACAATACGCAGCAGCAGCAGCGGCAGCATGATTTGAATCACACTCTACACTTCACTCAACCATTCATAATAATTTCGATTTTTTTTTGTTTCATTACTACGACCAGCGCACGAATTAATGATGATAAATGTTCGAATTTGAAATATGAAAATGGAATCGCAGAAAAAATCAGTGATTTGTGTAATTGCTGCCGTTTTTTTTTCTCTCTCGCCTCGTTCAGCCAGAGGCAGAGAGTTGGCAGCCCGAGACGTTTAACCATGTCTTGTCAACAGTTAAATGATTGATGAGCTTTTTATTGTGATTACTTTGGCTTGTGATGTGTGAAACGACACATGAGAGAGTGAAAAAAAAATGTAATGCTTCTGAAAACGATACGCTTTTCAGTCGTCAAGCCGTGTGACAGACACTTTGTCACAGTGGATGTCTTTGGTTTTTTTTTATCGGCACAACGCTACATTGACATTTGATACAAATGCCAGTCAATCTAATCGATGTGCGAAATGAACCAATTAAACGGACAAAGAGTATTTTCGGTTGATTGTCGAACAATCATAATGGCCATATCATTATTACAATCGAAAAAACAAGAATCGATTAATTTCGAATGGAACTCGATCCAGGTTTATTTCCATATATAAAACGAAATGTACGTATTTTTTTTGTCATGGTACCCGCGGGAATTGGCCATGGTAGTTCGCCGCAAAACAAGTCACATGAAATATGGACAACACAACATGAACAAATGTGTCGATGCTTGACTGTATGGGGAAAAAAAAGTATAATTCAAAAATATGGCAAGCATCCGAATGATAATGGATTTTTGTACACAGCAACACCAAACGACACAGGCAATGGTGCGGTTATTTTGCAACCGACGAAAAAAAGAAAACAACAACAACAGTCATTTATTTGTACAGAGTGGACATCAAACGGAACTGAGTGCATTGTGAGATACAAACAAACAAAGTGTGAGTGTTTTGTGTGTGAGACACACAGAGAGAGTGAGAGAGTAAATCCAATGTGCTAATGCATACACACACAACACCAAATGAAACGGGACATCAAGATAATAGCACAAAGTGCATTTAATGCAAATATTTATGAACGAACGCAAAAGTACTAAAACAAAATGGTCTAGATAGCTGTAAAATATTATACGTGCTGCCACACGCTCCCGTTTCTTCTTATATCGCTTCTTTTTTTTACTCTCCTATCGCTCAAGCGAACAAACGAACGAGTGTTTGAGTCTTCGGCATCCTTTTTAATGTGCGAATTTTAATTTTCGCTTTTTTTTCGCCGCCGCTGTCGCGTGTACGCTTTAAAAACTTTGGCAGTAGCAGTAAGTAAAAAAGTAACGGCTGCACATTTTGGCCGTTATCTACTTTACTAGCAGCATAAAATATTTGCATTATGAAAATGGTGTAGCATATTTCGAAAGGCAATTGCACATACCGCTTTTTTTCGTTTGTTCGTTCGTTCGTTGTCAATGATGTGCCGCACTCTCGGTCTTATCTTTTTGATTATAAATGCACAATGCACATATTTTTGTAATTCACCAAATGCATCGAATGTAGCCAGAGTGTCGCTAGATTTTACGATGCACGTCCCAAGTTTGCGCAACATTTTTTCCCCTTTTTTTCCGTTTCTGTTTGTATAGTTCAACCAAATCGAAGCGAAGCGAGCGAAAAAAAAAATTCGATTGTTTTTCACTCACTTCAACAATTTTGTTCTCGCTTGTTGGCCCCGTTCCAAAGCGCCAAAGTGAGAAAAAGTTAAGATTCATCCGAAATGATTTCAACTTTTCAAGAGAATGTGTACATTTTTGAAATCTAACATTTATTTTTACACAATCCGAAGCGAACGGGATAAAAAAAAATGGAATTCAATATCGGAATTTTTGGAGTTCGTGTCGAGGCGAAAGCGCTTTTTTTTAAATTTCAATTAGACTGAGTCACTGGCGCCTCATTTTGGGAATCATTTCATTCACTTTATATGTTCATTTTGGAATGGTTTGAATCGTTTGGAGAAATGAATTGCGAACGAATTGGTATAATGAGAACAGCAGAAGAACCAATTCGATATCCATTCGGACCAAATGCTGATGTGATGCGCAGAAAAAAAAAATCCGAAATGAGAATACGCCATAGTATTTGGCAGCATAACCGTTAATACAGGCTAATCGAGCGAAACCAATAAACCATTCGGAAGAAGGTAATATAATGGTGGCGTAATTACTGCAGTTAATTAAGCTATTGGTTTGTCCAATCACATGGAATATTTTTATTACTGCAGACGCAAATACCGTTTTCGGCATGGATGGTGTTGTCGGAAGCGACAGAGCATAATTGGACGAATGGAAAAATGAATTGTTCTAGGAATTTCGGTGTCGACCACCAATCAGATTTATGTCACATTAATCGATGGACATATTGTTGATTTCATCGAGCGACACCACATTGTTTCAATGGCAGACCATGAAACTAGAAATTATTTATTAAAATCGAAAAAGAAACCCTCATTCATTGACCCAAATAACGGAAAAGAGAAAGAATGGCAGAAATAGAACGAAAAAATAAAACACGACTGCAGGTCTGTCGGAATGATTTTCGTGTTGAACCAAAGGCAATTTAAATCGTCGTTTTGCTATCACACATACACAAAATCACAGAGATACCAATCGCACAATCATTTCTACATTCTTTGTTCCTGGGCACAGCCAAACCCACTGGATATTTAGCATGATTTGATTTCAGATGCGATGGCGGAACAAGTCGAAATGAACGAAAAGAAGGAGAAAAAAAAACATAAACGA